CTCTTCGCCCTCTTCACCCTCTTCCTCCTCCTCCCCCTTCACTCCCTTTTCCTCCTTCCTCTCCGCACCTCCACCAGCGCCCCCGCCGAGAGCCGGCGGTCGACCCGCGCGGGCGCCGACGGCGCGGCCTTCTAGAGGGGAGAGGGGAACGCGAGGGGATCGGGGAGGAGGCGCCCGTCGGTCGGGCGCTCGGCGGCGCCGCGGCCCGCAGCGGGAGCAAGGGCAAGTCCGCTCGAGCTGCTGGAAAGTTCGGGCGCCGGTTTGCTGTCCCATCCCTGCCACTCGTTGCCCCCCCCCCCCCCTCTGTTGCCCCCCCCCCCTCTCTGCTTCACAAGTAGAAGTACAAGTAGAAGTACACATGAACATAGATGTGCAAGTATAGAAGTACAAGTATAGAAGTGCACAAGTTACAAGTACAAGTAAACGTATCAGTAGCAATACAAGTATAAGTGAAAGTAGAAGTTGAAGTAAAAGTAAAAGTAAACGTATACGTAACAGTAATAGTAACATTATACATAACAGTAGAAGTAAACGTGACAGTAACAGTAGAAGCAGAAGTACACGTAGAAGTAGACGAGGAAACCTGCAGGGTTTCACACCTCCCTCCCCCTCTTCCTCCTCCGGCTGCTGCGCCTCGTCCTCCTCCTCCTCCTCCTCCTCCTCCTTCCTCCTCCTCCTCCTCCCACCCCCCCCCCCCCCCCCCCCCCCCCCCCCCCCCCCCCCCCTCCTCCTCCTCCGCCTCCTCCTCCTCCTACTCCTCCTCCTCCTTCTCCCTCCCCTTCCCTCCTCCTCGTCCTCCTCCTCGTCCTCCTCGTCCTCCCCCTCTTCCCCCCCCTCCCCCTCCTCCTCCTCCTCGAAGGCCCGAAGCGATGAATCGGGCAACGATCGTGTCGCGATTTTCAATTTTTTGTTGGTTGCCTTTTGATGGCAGCTGGGCGCGGTTGGAGGTGGAGCCGAGGCTCCGCCTGCGATGGCCCGTCGACGGGGCGCAGCCGCAACCGCGGCCGCAGCCGCAGCCGCAGCCCTAGCAACGCCCCCGCGGGGCCGACTTGGACGATCCCTGCGCCGAGCGGCGATCGACCGATCGATACTCGATAAATTTATTTCGCCGCTCGGCCACACCCCGAAAACCAAGGCCCGTCGACGCCGACGAGTGGATCACCAGCAGAGAGAGCAGCGACGCCGACACCATTTCGGAGAGCGAGCCCGAGACGATCGACAGCGACTAAACCAGGCGCCGCGATCGATCTCCCCCTCCTCCTCCTCCTCCTCCTCGTCCTCCTCCTCCTCCTCCTCGTCCTCCTCCTCCTCCTCCTCCTCCGCCCTCCCCCTCCGCCTCGCCATTTTGGCTCGGCCCGCATAGGCGCGGTTTCCTACCTGGCATCGGAAAACCCTACACATCCATATACAACATGCACGTTGCATACCACCCACGCACATCTAAACGCGTTACAATTGTTAACGGCTGTATAACGGCTACAACGGCTGCAACTCTATGCTGAGCGCGGCTTCGTTTCGTTGAACGCATTGCGCTTCATTTCCAATCCGCCCCCGATGAGAGCGCGCGTTTTTTTATATATGTAAAAAAGCGCTTGATTTTTCAAGGCGCCTCAGCGCGTCTCGAGATATATATATATATATATATATATATATATATATACATACATATATAAGGAAAAAAAAAAAAAAAAAAAAAAAAAAAAAAAAAAAAAAAAAAAAAAAAAAAAAAAAAAAAAAAAAAAAAAAAAAAAAAAAAAAAAAAAAAAACGCGCAGGATGTCTGGGCAGGTGGGGTATCCAGGGCTCCAGGAACCCTTAGATATAAGGAATCCAAGAACCCTTGGATAAGGAACCCTTCGGCGAGGACTCCAGAACCCTCCGATCAGGCATCCGGCAATCGAAGCTTGGCCACGGACACCCATAGCCGCTCACGGCCTAGACCGCGGTTGGACCCCAGCAAGTCTGCAGAACTCCATGCTCCCAGTGGAAGCGGGTATGGGTCCTTCTTTTTTTTTTCCAGGCCTCGGGGCGTTGTGAGCGACGATACAAGTTGAGCCCCATGCAGTTCGGAATTTTCGCGGCGCCAGGGCCAGAAACACGATGACCCAGTGGCCGAAACATGCCGAAGCGCTTCAGATTCGCCGCGGTCGCTCCCTGAAGCGTTTCGGCAGGGGGCGGGGTAAGGGCCCATGACTCCCGATGCCTTCGGGCACGGGCTCACTAGGGCGATTGGGTGCGACCTCTGCTGCCAGCCAGTCGGACTTCTGCTGGCTGCCGACGCGCCGCAGATGCCGCTGCCGCTGCTACCGCCGAGCCTGCCTCATCACACTTGGCCTGTCGGCATTCCGCCTGCGCGCGTGTCTGCGGGCGCGTGTCTTGCTTGGGCCTTAGGCGCGTCTCGATTGGGCTGCCGAATGCCTTCCGCCTTTGGCCCGATGGGGCTCTAGGGCTTCCGCCCCCCCCGCCCCCCGCCGTTGGCCTTCTGGGGCAGTCGGGCGCCCGCCCCCTCCGCCCCCCGCCGCTGGCCCCACGGGGCTTCAGGGCTTCCGCCCCATCCGCCCCCCGCCGCCGGCACCTCGGTGCTTTAGGGCCCCCGCCTCCTCCGCCGCTGGCCCCATGGGGCTTCAGGGCTTCCGCCCCCTCCGCCCCCCGCCGCTGGCCCTGCCGCGCGGAGCTTTAGGGCTTTCGCCTCCTCCGCCCCCCCGCCGCTGGCCTCGCGGGGCCCTCGGGCCCCCGCCACCATCCGCCCCCCGCCGCCTGGCCCCCTGGGGTTCTAGGGCTTCCGCCCCATCCGCCACCCGCCTCCGGGGCCCCATGGGGCTTTAGGGCTTCCGCCGCCTCCGCGCACCGCCGCTGGCCCCATGGGGCTTTAGGGCTTCCGCCCCTATCCGCCCCCCGCTGCTGGCCCCATGGGGCCCGAGGGCTTCCGCGAGAAGGCCTGGGGGGAGGGCGAGAGAGGCATGGGCCAGTGCCTCTCTTGGCCCCGCATCGGCGCACTGGTGTATGAGGAGCTCCGATGGCCTCTGCATGCAGTGGCTTCCAAGCATGTTCTACTTATTGTGAGCCCCGCAGCGCCGCGCGCGACCTCGCGAGCCTCTGGTGGCCGCCGAGCCGTGACAGGAAGCATGCGTTGCAATGTCTGTATCGTTTCGCATTGTATATCACATGCATAGCACAGCGCACGCACGAAGTAGGATTGGGTAGCACGTGCAAAGCAAGCATGCGCACTTGAACACATCCCCGTGGGATCCTACGAGGGGCGCCTCGATGTCACCCCGACCAGGGGGGCGAGAGGGGCGCGACTCCTGATGGCCTTTCTTGCCAGTCATCGCATTATTGTGGCACTTTTGTCTGAGATTCCTGGCGGTGGCCTGTTTTTTGTTTTGGGGCCGACGGGCGTCGGCTGGGACTCTCAATCGCACCGATTCCAGCTTCTTGGCACTTGGCGCCATCATGTCCAGGAAGGCCGCCAGCGTTGCATGCGCTGCTGTTCCGCGCATCGCCAAGCGCAAGGGCGCGGAGGCGGCCGCGTCGGACCGCGACCGCCAGGGCGACAGGGTCTCGGCCGCGCAGAAGAAGCTCCGCAAGGGCGCCCAGCAGCGCAGCCTCTGCGGCATCCGCAGCGACGAGGACAGAGACCGCTGAGTTGGAGGGGTCTTCCCTCTCCTCATCCCTCCCCCTCCTCTTCCTCCTCTCCCTCCTTCCTCTCATCCTCCCCCCCTTCTTCCTCCTCTCACTGCCCTTGCTTCGCCTATCCTTCCCTCCCCCTCCCCGCCCTCATCCTCCTTCCTCTTCCCCCCCCCCCCCGAGGCCCGCCCTCTGCCCCCTTCCCTCCGCCCCCCCCCCCCCCCCTCCTCCAGCCGTTCTCCTCGAGGCCGAGGGTGGGTGAGATGGCGAAGAGAGGACTTCATCAGTATCGCCCTCACACTCGTCCTCTATCATCCTCCGCGCCTTTGCCGCCACTCCCCGGGATGGCGCCCGCCGGGCCAAGGAGCTGGAGAAGCCAGACAAGACCCGCGGGCCGCTCGAGGACAAGTGCTACACCTGCAAAGAGTTCTCGATGGATTGCGAGGCCGCGTTCGGCGACTGGGACGGCCTCTGCGCCGCGCACGCCGAGGGCAAGTCTGTCCATGATGACGTCTCGGAGGGCTTGCAGGTGAAGCGCGGCTCCGCGGCTGGGTTCGTTCCTTCCACCGAGGTTTCTACGACGAGGATTGGTTCGAAGGTTTCCGAGACGGCGACGAGCATGAACGCCGTCGAGTTCAGGAGCCACTTTACGAAGGAGCCGAGGGGGGATGCCGTCAAGAAGTTGCCGTGGACGATGGTTCGGGTCTTCGGGTCTACCGAGAAAGATAAGGTTTTCATTTTCGAGCATATGCCAGGTTCGAAGTGGTGGAGCTACGAGGTGTTCATCGAGAAGGTCAAAACCGCGAACGCGCCGAACCTGGAGGCCCGCCAGCACTTCTTCAAGAACCAGCCCGAGCGCGTTGCCACGAGGAAGCTTCAGGCATCGTCGGATGTGTACGAAGCGAGCTGCCAGATCCTCGGCACCCACGCCCTCGTGCACATCGACGACCACCTGCTGTCCATCGGGAGGCTTCGCCCAGGCTCCGCCCCGGCGAAGCGAGCGGCTGCGCTGCAGGCTATTCGGACTCACCGACTCACCCATCCTTTCGTCGCCTTTGCCTTGCGAATGGGGCCTCCGTAGCGCCGACGAGTTTTCAAACCATGTTTTGTTTTTTCTCGCGGCCCTATGGGCTGGCGGTCGATGCAGGCGATTCGTTATCGAGTGACCTTGGGGCCTCGCGCGAGCGAGCCTCGCGTTTGTCGGCCCCTTTTGTCGGCCGACGGCGGCCGCTCGCGCCGCGGCAACTGGGGCGCCGAGCAGGCCGCGGTTGCTGGACTTGTTGGCGCAGGCCAAGAAGGACTCTTTGAATCTGGCCATGGCAATGGTCAAGGGCTCCGAGGGGGTTTCTCGGCATCACGCCGAGGTGGCTGAGACGAAGCTGCGGGTCCGCGGGTGGGAGGACCAGGCGAACGTCGTCAAGAATCGTTTGCTAGTTTTTCGCCAAGCTGAGCTTCTGCCCACTTCGCGGATCCACACCGTCGACCCTGCGGATGTGCACGCCGCTGCGAAGGCAGCGCTGGCTGCGAAGGTGGAGTTGCCAGTGGCCGCATGCATGGGCTTGCTTCTGATCGAGCGCAACCGCGTCGCCAAGGGAATCTGGGGTGACAACGCCAGCTTCGAGAAGCTCTTCGGCATTGCCTCTGCTTGGGCGCCAACTGTCGACGTCGACCCCACCCCGTTCGATCCAGCCGCTCCGACGCTGGCGAACCTCAACCTCGACATGGAGAAGAAGCTCGACATCATGCAAGTCTCCTTCATCAACGCGGTGGTGCCCTCTGCGATCGCCAGGGGCCAGTCGCAGCGCGGCGCGCTGAAGCGCCTCCTGGACAAGTTCGGCGGCGCCATCGAGAAGATCGCGACGACTCGCGTCGACGCCTCCGAGTGCGAGGCCGCGAAGATGTGCGAGTTCATGGAAGTCGTGCGCTACATCGCGCAGCTGCTGGATCCGAAGACGCTCGTCTCGCCCGAGGCCGACGCAGACGTCTACGGTCGCGAGTGCGTCGAAGGTTCTTTGATCCAGGTCGTGGCTAGTGCAATTGGGGCGTCGCCGTACTACAGCAACTTGCTCAGTGAACTCACGAACCCACAGATGATCGTAGCGTTGAAGGAGATGGCCTCTCAGATGCTGAAGCTCGAGACTGACCTCTCCGAATCGTCGGGGGAGTTGTTCTCGCACTTGGGGTCTGCGCCCAAGCTGTTGCATCGCCTGACTGCTCGGTTCCCCTCCAGCGTCGCCCAGAACTTCGATGAGGTCGCCAAGTCCACGGCTTTCGAGCAGGTACAGGTTATTCGGAGCGAGATCTGCGCAAATATTGTCACACTGGATAGATTGCGCCGTGCCAAGGATGCCCTGGAGGAGCTCAGCTCGGCCTTCCCAACAGACTCGACCTTGCCAGCGGCCATCGGAGATATCGTCGCAGCCACGAGGAGCATCGAGCTCGGCGCCAGTCGCCAGGACATCCATAATGCCATCAAGGACGTCTTGATTTCGAGTACGAAGACCGACGAGTTCCAAGCTCTGGCAGACAAGTGCAACGTATCCATCGGCATGCGCATTGATCATGCAGATGGTTCTTCAGACCCCGACCCGTTGTTGCAGATGATCGAGTGCACCGCCAATGAGGCTTCCATGGTCGAGGGCAAGGACATCCCGCGCTTGCGAAAGCCCGGCAACAACTTGCAAACGCACGCGCCCTTCGTGTTCACGGGCCTCGACTGCCTCGAGGAGGGCCTGTAGAAGATCAAGGGCATTGCTGAGGCCCTCGGGGTCGCGATGAAGATCGTCTACGCGATCGACGACGCCAGGAGAGCGCGCGCGCAGCAGTCGGATGAAGCTGCTTCAGATGACGCCCGCCCTCCATCGCGCCAAGCTGGACGCCGACCAGATCCTCGAGAGTGGCACCGAGGACATGTGCAACGTCACCGCCATTGCGACTGACGCGTGCCAGATGGCAGACGACGCGGCGAAGATGAACGCGACCCACGCTCAGCAGGTAGTCTTGAACAGCGTGAGCCCCGCCATCGATTTCGTCAAGCCCATTCGCTTCGGAGTGGCGGGCGAGGGGAAGTGGCTGGGCGGCTGCGCCAAGAAAGACGCGAAGAACTACAAGACCTTGCACGGGCACCTCAAGAAGACGATGGGCCCGCTGAAGGAGGCCCCGCAGCTGGAGAGCAAGAGCGACGAGATCTCCAAGGCCGCTTTGGAAAAGGAGGAGGTACATGAGGAGGGCGAGGGGCGCGGGGGGGGGGAGCTCAAGGGGGAGGAGGCTGAAGTGCCGAAAGTCAGATGGGGAGGATCTTGAGACCTCCCACCTCCGCCTCCATCTCCCCCTCCTTATTTGGGCGTTGGGCCGCTCGCTCGCTCGCGCACTATTTTTTTCCTCGCCCCCCCTTCCCCCCCTTCATCTGCCGCCCCCCCCCCCCCCCCCATATCCTGAGGTGCCCTCGCCCCTCCTCCTCCTTCGCCTGGATGTCCCCATTCGCTGTCCCGCGAACTCCTCGCCCTCGCCCCCCATCCTTTTCCTTTCTTAGCTCCCCCCCGCTCGCTCAATCAATCACTCGCTAACGCTCCTCCTCCATCTCACCCCTCCCCCCCTCCCCATGGGCCCCGCCGTCCCCTTCCTTAAGTTCCCCCCGCTCCTCGTCGCCGAGTCGTCGGTGTCGTCGTCGTCGGTGTCGTCGTCGTCGTCGTCGTCGTCGTCGTCGTTGTCGTCGCCTCGCCGCCCTCTCCCGCCCGGGAGGGGGCGGGGGGGGGGGGGGGCGTGGTCGATGGGGGTGCCCCAGCCGTGGCCAGGCTCTGGGCAAGCGCGCTGGCATCGCGAGGATGTTCGGCCACGAGCTGCCCGAGTCCCAGGATGTCCAGAACATCCGCGGCGACGCCCTGACGACGCAGGTCGCCGGCATGGCATTCCATTGGCTCGGCGCGCTGAAGGGCGACAAGGCGAAGCTCCGCGCGAAAGTGCTGGAGGAGCTCTCGAAGCTCACGTCCGCGGGCCACGTGATCCAGGATGCATTGCCCCAGGGCCTCTTCGAGGCCACCGAGAAGGTCAAGGCCATGAAGTCCTGAGGGGCGTCGTGTTCGGCGGCGCGGGCCATCGAGCTCAAGTCTCCGACGGCGCCTGTCGTGATCGGGCCGCCTCTCGTGGTCGGGCCGCCGCGCCCTCCGCTCTCGCGCCCGATGGAGTGGGCAGACTTGAGAGAGGGCGCGGCGGCCCGACCACGAGCGGCGGCCCGAGCGCGACGGGCGCCGCGCCGCCGAGCAGGCGGCCCCAGCGCGAACTGGCGGCCCGCGCCGCCGAGCAGGGGGCGGCGCCGACGAGCAGGGGGATGCTCAGAAAAAAAAGGAGGGAGAGGAAAAGGAGGCGCAGCAACGGCGAGAGGGAGAAGGAGGAGGGATCATGATGAGGCGGAAAGAGGATGAGGGGAGGGGAAGAGGGCCTCGCCTCGAGTTGGGGGAGCAGGCGTGGGGAGGGCGAAGGAGGAAGAGGCAGGGTGAGGGAAAGAGCACGGGCCTCCTCTCACCCCTCCTCTCCGTTCCCTCTGTCCCCTCCTCCCCCTGCTCCTTCCCCGTCCTCCTCTTCCTCCTCCTCCCCCTCCCCCCTCTCCTCCTTCCCTGCCCATCCCCCTGTCCTGATGCACCCCGCCCCCCCCCGCCCCCCCCCCCCCCCCCTCCCCCCACCCACATCCCCATCTTCCCTCCTCCGAGCTTGGCTCGCGCTCGCCGCGTTGAGCCCGCGGGCCTTCTCGGCGCGCTAATCGCCGCTGAGCTCGCAGTCAACGGAACGTGCATTCATTGATTACGAGCCCTCCGTTCACCCCTGGAAAGCTGCGTGGCGCCGCGGGAAAACCCAAGGACCAGACCGCTGCATGTTGCTTGCGTTTTTTTCACCCAAACCAGGATTTTTCATGCAGTGGGTTGCGGGGGGCCCAAACACATCAGAAACGACTCTGCGAACTACCCTTGCAGAGAATCCTTAGATCTGGCTTTTTTCTGGGGCAGCCAGCATCACAATAGTAGTAGTAGTAGTAGTAGTAGTAGCAGTAGCAGTAGTAGTAGTAGTCGTAGTTAGTAGTAGTAGTAGTAGTAGTAGTAGTAGTAGTAGTAGTAGTAGTAGTAGTAGTAGTAGTAGTCGTGGTAGTTATTGTTTGTTATTGTTGTTGTTGTTAGTTGTAGTAGTAGTAGTAGTAGTAGTAGTCGTCGTCGTCGTCGTAGTCGTGGTAGTAGTAGTAGTAATAGTGGCCGTAGTAGTAGTAGTAGTAGTAGTAGTAGTAGTAGTAGTAGTAGTAGTCGTAGCAGTAGTAGTAGTAGTAGTAGTAGTAGTAGTAGTAATAGTAGTAATAGTAGTAATAGTAGTAGTAGTAGTAGTAGTAGTAATAATAGCAGTAGTAGTAGTAGTAGTAGTAGTAGTAGTAGCAGTAGTCTTAGTAGTCGCATTACTACCACTACTACTGCAACTACTATTGTCACAGCTACCACTGGTTTACTTCCAGTAGGTTCGTGCATCTGGCGGCGAGGGGCGGCCCCGAGGACCTCGGCCACTTCGTCGGGGGCCCCGAGACCTTCGCCGAGCAGAGGGCCAGCGCGGGCGCGGTCGTCGTCGACGCCGCCGCGCTCCGGCTCAAGCTCCAGGGCGAGGAGCAAGCGCGCATCCGCGAGAGCGAGATCTACGCCGCAGGCGCCAAGAGACGCGTCGAAAAACCTCCGCCGGAGGCACCGCGAGACGCAGGCCGACGAGGACATGGCAGCCTTCGAGGCCCAGAAGGCCAAGCACTGGGCAGAGCACCCCATGCACGAAGGAGCAAGTGGACCAAGCCTACTCGAACGCAGGGGACAAGTACAGGATCACCCTCATCAACATCTCTGCAGTCGAGGGCTGGTTTTCGACCCGAGCAGGGCACCCAAGTCCGCCAAGAAGCACCGCGCGGCCCCTCGCCCCCCGCGCAGGGCACTGCCGAGTGAGCGACGTGAACCTCGAGGAGGGCACCTGGCGACGCGACGCCACTTGCGAGCGGGGCGACGGCGAGGCGGAGCACTTCCGAGCAGGCGAGCCCCTAGGAGCATCGCCCAAGGGCCGGCGCCTTGCTCGAGATCTCCGAGGAGGGGCGCGCGAGGGTCTTCGAGGCCATCGACGCGTGGGGGCGGCCCAGGGCCTGGACGGGCGAGCTCGTCGCTTCCTGACATCATCGTCGAGCAACAGCACGGCCAGGGCCTCGCGTTCGCAGACTGCCTCTCGAGCCAGTGGACCGAGGCAGTCGCGCTCCGAGCGTGGCTCGAGACTGTGGCCCGCGCGCCCGTGGCCCCCGACGTCACGGACTTCTCGCAGGAGCCGGACGCCCGCGAGCGCAGCCAGTTCAAGGCCATGATCCGAGAGGTTAAGGCCGAGATGCGCTGGGCCATGGAGCAGGACTGGATCCAGGAGGCCAGCGCGGGGCCGAGAAGCATTGCAAGTCCCCGACCCAATTGGGCCCTACGAGTGCCTCAACTGCGTCTCCGAGGCCGACGCCCGCTTCCGCGAGAAGAACAAGGACGCGGCGCCGCTCCACGGGCTGCAAGCGAACCGAGTAGTCGCGGTCCGGCCGGCAGAGCAGGGCGAGCTCAAGGTCGCCACGGGCATGGGGCCGTGGAGCTACTCCGTCGAGCCCAGCCGCGGCATCGACCAGTGGTTGGCGAGCGAGCGCCTGGAGGGCATGCAGAGGTGACCCGAGGGCGCGCCGCCCGCGCCCGACTGGGGCGCCCTCGACGGGAACTGCTTCCACCTCGACGACTTGCCCAGGGACTACGAGGAGGACGAGAACCCCTGCCTCCTGGAGCTCTGGGACCTGGACCTCGAGCTCACTGACGAGCAGAAGAACACGCAGAGAACGCCAGAAGAGCGGATCCAGGATATCCAGTTCCCGCACTCCCTCGAGAACCGGCTCAAACTGGCACGAACCTGCAAACGCAAGAGCAGGTGGGCGCCCAAGTTCTCGGGCCAGTTCTTGGGCAAGCTGCAGCGCAAGCGGCAGCGCGCGAAGGCCGAGATCGGCGGCGAGGCCTCGCGCGAGCACCCGAGCCGAGGCGCGGCCGAGGCGAAGCTCGCAGGCAGGGCGCCGAAGGCCAAGACGAACTTCTCCCAGAAGTTCAAGGCCATGGCGCAAGCGGAGAAGGACGCCAAGAAGAAAGCTAAGGCCAGGGCGAAAACAGGCCTCGAGGCTTGCGGCCCCCCCCCCCAGCACGGCAAGGTGGTCCGCGCAAGGGGTCCACGAGGGCAGGCGCGGCAGAGCGCAGGACGTCCGGCGAGTCCCGGGCGCCCGAGAATGCGCGCCCACGACGTGGAGACCGCGGCGATCTTCCATATTGACAGCGGCCAGACTCGGAGGCCCACTTCCCCCTCCAGATTGACTCGGCCGCTTCCGCCTGCTTGCGCCTGAGGCGGCGGAAGCAAGCGGAAGCTAGCGGAAATGGCGGAAGCGACGGCGGAAGCGGCGGACGCTGGCGGAAAGTTGGCGGCGGAAGCGACGGCGAAAGTTTGAAGCCACGAAGCGGAAGCAGGCGGGAGCTAGCGAGCGCATGTGAATCCCGAGCGCCACAGGTCACGATCGAGCAGGACTGCAAGTCCCCCGAGCCGCACATGCTCGACCGGCGCCAGACCAGCCTGGCTCGCCGCACCGAGGTCGCGAAGGAGTACGCGATCATGAACTGCGAGCAGACCGTCAAGGGCGACGCCCTCGAGCTGGGCACAGTGCACGCGCTGCTGGGCGACGTCGACGAGCGCGCGGGCGCCCCCAGTGCAATTCCGAGGTTGAGCAAGCCTGAGCATGAGTGAGTGAGTCCAGCAGGGTAGCAGATGTTTCAGATTTGTTTCATATTCCATGGTGCTGCATAGCTTCAGTTTGTGATTGCATTTGTGGTTTTACGTATGCTTTTTGCCTGCTACCGTCTCGGCTCTAGCGCCCCCTCGCTTGTGCTCAGAGGCACGGGAGTTTAGACGCCCTGTGAGCAGGGCCCGAACTTTAGGAGTTCAGAAAAAGATCAGAGATCAATACCGCTGCGCAATTTCCGCCGACTACTTGCATGGTAGCCGGAGCACGTGGTTGACACGGAGAGGGGCTACGATGACCGAGGATCATCGAGGCAAGGTGCCAAGCTGGGATGGGGATCCCAAGACTTGGCGGACGTACAGGCGGTAGGCCCTCCAGTACCAGGAGGGCGCCAAGAGGGAGGGTCGGTACCTGTGCGGCCCGCGGCTGGAGGCGAAGCTCACGGGCCGGGCCGAGATCGTGGTCGAGCGCTGCAAGGCCGGGTGGCTCTCCAGGCCAGATGGCGTGGAGCGGCTCCTGGCGTGGCTGGAGCGCAGATGCTCTCGACAGGCCGTGCCAGATGTCGGCCAGGAGCTCGAGACGTTCTTGATCAAAACGAAGCGCCGCAAGCTCGAGCCAATGCAGCAGTGGACGGACCGCTTCGAGACAGGGTACCAGTACCTCAGGCGCGCGCTGGCACGCGCGCTGGGACACACAGTCCCGGTCCAGGTCGCTCCAGCATGGAAGTGGACAGGGCGACCATACCGCTGGATCGAGGTCGAACGTGGCTGGCCATTCGAGGGTAGCGAATGGACGTGGGAGTACACGGACGCCCCGATGAGAAAGAGGACTCACACCATTGGAGCGCTGCTGACCAGGATGCGGACGCCGAGGAGGAGCTCGGGGACATGCCGGAAGTGTTCCCGAGCCTGGTCCTGGGCTGGCTGATGCTCGTGCGGTCGGGGCTCGACTCGCGCGAGAGGGCGGCCATCATGACGGCGACGGGCGGCTCGCTGAAGGTCAACGCCATCCGGGAGAAGCTGATCTCGAGCTGGGAGGGCGACGACCTGGCGGAGCGTGATGGGCACTCAAGGTTCCCGCAGGCGTACACAGCCCAGCTTGGAGAAGATGATCGCGCATGGCTCGATGGAGATGAGGCGCTAGATGCAAGCAGCTTCGCAGCCGACATGGAGAACAGCGAGTGGCAGGAGGAAGAACCAGGCCCAGAGGAGGCGAACGAGGACGACATCGAGAACTACTTGGCGGCTCAGCAGGAGGAGGCGGAGGCGCTCGCGGCGATCCACACCGCCCAGCGTGCCCTCCGCCAGGCTCGTGAAGCTCAGGCAGACAGCAGGCTGAGCAGGGGCTTCTACAGGGGAGGACGGCCAGCGCCGAAGGGGTCAGGCAAGGGGTTCCCAGCGGGATCACGCCGACCACTTCCTCCCCAGGTAGGAGGTAGAGGCCAGATCTTGCCACCAGGCAAGGGGCAGAAGAAGTGCGCGAAGTGTGGAGGACCCCACTGGGCTCAGGACTGCCAGGACCGTCATGACCCACGTCTACGGCCGGGAGCTGCAGGCACGCCAGAGGCGAGCGCAAAGGTGGCAGAGTGCAGGAAGGAGCTGAAGTTCAACCTCGTGGCCTCGCTGGTCGCCGAGCAGGAGCCCCTGGACTCGAAGTGCGAGGCGATGTTTGCGGACCAGGCCATCCTCGAGGGCAAGGGCACCGTCGACTTCGGGTGCGCGGACGCCATGGGTGGTGAGCGTGCCCTGGACATCGTGGCCCGTAAGAACTTGGAGAAGTATGGCGACACCAGGCTGCTGGACGTGAACCTGGACTACAGGCCAGTCTACAGCTTCGGGAATGGCGAGAAGGAGAGCGCCTACGGACATGTGAAGTTCGGCATCACGGGCGCGGGCGTGGAAGGCGACATCGCCATCAACGGTTTCTCGAAGGATGTCCCGATCCTGGTGTCCAAGAAGGTGTTGAAGAAGCTCGGGGCCGTCGTGGACTGCGAGACTGGGGTGGCCGTGTTCGTGAGGCTCGCACCGGACATCCCCGTGCAGCTGGAGGAGTCACCTGATGGAGGACACTACTACCTGAGCCTGGTTGACGACTTGCTGGAGCAGCGCGTCCAGGACCAGAACCAGCTGCGGAACTTCAAGACCATCTGCGAGAGCATGCGTGAGTGGGATTGCCAGCCCGTGGCCGCAGTGTGCCAGGGGCCGGACAGCAGCTCGGATGACCGGGCCGAGCGGTCGGAGCGCTACATGTATCCATCTCAATCCGGTCACAGCGTTGTCACCGATGAGTCTCCAGTCGCTTCAGCAGGTGCGTGCAGAGGCCAGTCGTGTGGCCAGGCTTGCGGCATTCATCACAACAGTCGGCCACGGCCTCAGAAGGGTCCCGCAGTCGAAGGTAGTGGCCGTCACAGTGTCCAGTCTCAGTCCCAGTTGGGCCGGGTATCCCAGGTGAACCAGGGGGCCCAGCTGCAGATCCATAGCCGTTTAGGCTCGAGCCAGGCAAGTTCACTCGAGTCGACAGCGACCGAGGGCATCCAGCCACCCGCAGTTCCAGATCCACCAGGTCTTCCATATCCTCCATATTCCAGGCCGAAGGCCGTCGATGTCAGCAAAGGGATGCGCTGGGGTAACATCATCCATGGGGCGGTCCAGCTCACCTGCGCCAGGATCGCATGCTCGTGCGGCGCGGCCGCTCCAGATGCCAACGTCTCGCAGTGCAGTACAGGGCCTCTACAAGGCGGAGGTGCTGCATCTACTTTAGGAGCTTGGCCTGCCGCGCAGTCCGGCCTGGGGCGTGGACGAGCTGAAGCAGGTCCTCAAGGAGCACATGTTTCCGAAGGACGAGACGCCAGTGCAGATGGCCATGACGGGTCTCAGCTCGATGAAGAAGTCCCAGCTCTTGGCGAAGGCAGAGGAGGTAGGTGCCCACGTGACATGACGAATCCGTCACTCAAGCTCTCGATCCGCAAGGCCATCCTCATGCAGCACAACCCGGAGCCGACCGACTACATGGGCTTCGGGAAATACGAAGCCATGACCTACCAGCAGGTTCGGAGTCAGTACCCGCCCTACGCATCCTGGTGCCAGAAGGAGGCGAACCAGGAGAGCAGCTGGGAGCTGGCCCGGTTTGCCTCGTGGCTCAACGAGCAGGAGATCATCGACGAGAAGGCGGGGGTGACCAGGGATCCGAAGGAGGTCCCGAGGGAGCCGGACAAGGCTCGAGGGGGCGCGAGGTCATCCCGCAGGAGAACGGTAGATGCGATCATGGAGGACGAGATCGAGGAGCAGGAGAAGCTCGAGGCTGCGATCAAGGTGCAGAAGGAGGAGAAGGAGTCCAACCGCTTGGTCCAGGAGCAGATGCTGGCGGCGCTGAACCAGCTCAACCAGAGGATCGGCAAGCTGGAGGGCCAAGCGAGCTCAGCCAGTTCCAACGCCGGGAGCTTCGTACAAGTGGGTTCCAGTCCGAGTGGTCCGGCAGAGGTTTGAACTGCACGAAGGAGCTGGACCCCAGGAAGCAGCGCTGGCTTGCCAAGTGCATCCAGGAGAGCGGCCACTTAGAGGACTATGAGGCGCTGATGGCCCACGGCGGTACCAAGTTGATGGAGGTCGCGTGCTGCCCGACGTCCATCCTGAGCACGAAGATGGCGGAGAAGTTCGGCGAGGACGCTGTGTGCCGCATCAGTGCGTGGAACGGTTTCAAACTGGGGACCCCTGGCGGCAACCAGAGGGCTCGGGAGGCACGTGATGAGGCCGAACCAGACCACCTGTGGATCTGCACGAGGTGCGGCCCCCTGTCGAACCTCACCCTCGGCTTCAACGGCTCCAACCCCATCAGGGCCGAGGCCACCCGGAAGCGCAGGTTGCAGGCCATTAAAGAGTACAAGGGCGCAGTGCAGCTGGTGCACGACCAGGTGGCTCAAGGCAAGCATGTACACTGGGAGTGGCCCATCAAGTGCGAGGGCTGGGGCCACACGATGATCAGGAAGATGGTGGAGGACTGCTCCATGACTGTGGTGAAGGTGGCAGGCTGCCAGCTCGGTGCGAAGGACCGGAAGGGCCTGCCGCTGTTAAAGGAGTGGCTAATCGCTACGACGTCTCCAAAGATGGCAGCCCGGATGTCCCTGGAGTGCCCGGGAGATCACCGACATGGGGAGCTCACAGGAGGCAGTCTTACAGCGGCCACCAGCTATTACCCGGACGAGTTTGCCAGACGAGCTGTTCGCGCGATGACCGAGGAGGCCGCGCCCGACTACCACGAGTTCATGAGGTGCTTGGTAGAGCCCGGGGAGTCGGTCGACCAGGCGATGGTGGCCAACCAAGGGGAGACAAAGATGAGCTCAGACGTGAGCTCGAAGGAGTACCAGCAGATCATGAGGTGGCTCACCTCGATCCACCGTGGCTCAGGTCATAGCTCGAAGGCCTCCATGCTGAATGCACTTCGGAGGAAGGGCGCCAGCCCACAGGTGGTACAGGTGGCTGAGGACTTCCGCTCTGAAGCTTGTGAGGAGGCGAACAAGTTCAAGCCCACACATCCGCCCGTCAGCTTAGAGGCCATCCCGCCGAAGTGGAAGCACATCCAGGCGGACCAGTTCGAATGGGGGCACCCGCAGACGAAGGTCAAGTCCAAGATCTCCCTGAACATAGACGAGAACTGCCGGGTGCGCGTCAGCAAGCTACTGTACCACATGGTTGGCGAGGACCGGCACAGGAATCATGCGTGGGCCGACCCCAAGCAGTTCTACGAGGAGCGCTGGATGCCCTACTTCGGCAAGCCACAGAGGGTGAAAGTGGACCCAGAGGGATCCTGGATGTCCAAGCAGGCGGCTGAGTACTTTGATTCCGACTCCATCGCGTACGAACCCATACCTGGCCAGGCCCACTGGCACATTTCCCTCGCCGAGGAGGCCATCCAGGCCACCAAGGGGACCATGGACAAGTTGGTGGCGGAGAACCCCGAGATGACGACGGAGGAAGCCCTGGCCAGAGCGACCGCAGCTGGGAACTCACGTGAAGATGTTCGGGGACACTCACCCCTTCAACATGCCCTCGGGCGAGCGCCAGACCTGGACGGACACTTCTTTGAGAGCGACTTCTTCGAACTGCCCTACGTGGAAGCCCAGAGGGTCGACAAGGAGTTCGGGGAGAACTACACAAGAATGTATGCGGCCGAGCAGGAGTACCTGAGGCAAGTCTACATGCGACGCACCAGCAGGGCAGAGAACGCGAAGAATCAGGCGGTGAAGTCCGTGGTGCCAGGCATGTGGGCGCGCTACTTCCGGAAGGAGAAAGGTGAAGCTAAGGGCCGATTCAAGGGACTCGCGAGGGCCCTGGCCACAGAGACGGCGCGGCCGGTGGACAGGGACCTTGGCGAAGGACGGGCCCTACACCCTGGGCGCGCAGGATCCGTGGTGTGGCTGGTACGAGCCGGGCGTATCATCAAGGTGGACCTCTGCCAGATCCGGGCGGCACCCTCACGGGAGATCGCCTACGCAGAGCTGATGGGAGGCAAAGACACGCCCTGGACAGTCCACACCTTCATGAACCAGACGATGAAGCACGAGTACCTGGACTTCACTGGCCACGACCCCACCGAGGACGACGTGGAGATCTCGACCTGGGAGGGACTACCTGAACCAGCCCCTCCATTGAAGAAGGCCCGCGCAGGACAAGCCACAGAAGAAAGCCAGGCCTCAAGGAGCCGTTCAACACCACCAGTGAGGAAGAAACTACTCAAGAAAGGACACCACCCAGGAGGAACAGCCGACCAAGTCTGAGCGTCTCGAGCAGCCCTGGCGGAGGAACAGATGAAGGAGAACATGGCCCTCATGGCGAAGTCCACTCCAGACGCCAGAGCCTTTTGGGCTCGTCAAGGCACGTCACTGGAGGTCTCCGTTGAGGTTCCCCTGGAGGGCAAGCCGCTCAAGCAGGCCACGAGGCACATGAGTACCTACATGGCGAGCCAGCTGCGAAAGGGCAAGCGCGATATTTCGGAGAGGACGTTGACCCCGGACGAGGTGGCGAAGTTCGGCCAAGCAAAGGCCATGGACATGGAGGTAAACAACTACATTGTGTCTTCGGTGCTTGAGACGCCCCCACCAGGAGTGACCCCGCCTCCCGAGGACGTCATGCGCATGAGGTGGATCCTCGAGTGGAAGGTGGACGAGAACACGGGCGAGAAGAAGCCGAAGGCGAGGATTGTGGTCCTGGGTTACATGGGCCCCGGGTACGTTCACCGTCCGACCATCGCTCCAACCATGACGAGAACTTCGAGGCACCTGGTGCTGCAGGCGATGGCGTGGTTGGGCTTCAAGGGCTACAAAGCGGACGCGACGGGGGCTTTCACGCAGAACAGAGAGATCCAGCACGACCTGTTCGTGATGCCTGTGAAGGAGCTCGCGGCGGCGCTGGGGATGCCCGAGGGCGTTGCGATGCGGCTCAGGAAGGCGGTCTACGGGCTCGTGGAAGCAGCGATCGAGTGGTTCATGACCGTGAGCGAGGCACTGGGGGAGTTCGGTTGGACCCAGATGAAGATGGACCCCTGCGTGTGGGTGCTCTACGGCGACGCCCACGGCAAGGATAACGGCTTCACCAAGGAGGCGCTGAAGGACTTCACGAACCCAGAGGTGCTCGGGGACCTGATCGCGGCGAAGGGGGACATGGACATCATAGCCATTGCGGGGTCGCACGTGGACGACTTCCTGCTCGGTGGCAACGACACGGACCCCAGGTGGATCACTGCCCGGGAGCAGATCGAGAAGCGCTTCAAGTGGAAAGCCTGGGAGTCGGAGGAGTTCATGCAGACGGGGGTGCGGATCAAGCAGCAGCCCGACAGGAGCTTCCGCATGGACCAGAGCGAGTATGTGAAGACCATCGAGAAGGCGCCCTTCGCCCCGGAGCGCAAGAAGGCCAAGGACATGCCGACCACCGACAAGGAGAAGGGCCAGCTGAGGGCTATCTTAGGAGCCATCGGGTGGAGGTCCGAGCAGTCAGGCCCTATGCATTCGGCCGACACGAGCCTTCTGCTCAGCACCATCCCCTCGTCCACCGTGCAGACCATCAACGAGACCAACCGCTTGGTCGATCGTGTTCGTGAGTGTGCTGATCTACCTGTGGTGATACACAGCCACTCTCAGGCGCAAGTGCTGGTGCCAGTGGAATGGTCCGACTCCTCCGAGGCCAACCGTCCCGACGGAAAGTCCACGAAGGGCCTGGTGGCAGGGCTGGCACCTCTGAAGATCCTCAAGGGCGACGAGGCGGACGTGAGCCTCATATCCTGGAAGTCCGGGAAGATCGATCGTGGTTGCCGCAGTTCCGTGTCGGGAGCCTCGAGACGGGGGTCAGTGCAAACGGGGGTCAGCCAGGGCGCCGGATCCTGCAGGATCCTGCAAAGGCCCCCTCTGGCTGACCCGGGTCAGGGAGCCGCTCGTGGCCGCGAGGCGGCCGCGCGTATTGGCTGACCCGGGTTTGCGAGGATCTGCGTTGCAGTTTTTTTTTCCTGCATTGCAGTTTTTGGTTCCCTGCTGACCCGGGTCTGGATTGACCCGGGTCAGAAGGTCCCCGACCGTGGCGTGTGAGACACGCTCCGCCGTGGATGCTGAGGACGAGCTGTTTGGCATCAAGTTGCAGTGGCTGGAGATCCTGGGCAACAACATCGACTGGAGGAACCCCGAGGGGATTCTACGCAGACTGCCAGGAGCAGCGGTTGTGGATTCAAAGGGCCTGCACGACAAGCTGCAGACGACAGTCTACACCTTCCGGGGCAAGGAGAAGTGGACCGACGTGGAGGCCATGGCCCTGAAGGAGGGGGCGCAGGCTGCGAACAACTGGATGCTCTGGGTACATGGGGACGCCCAGCTCGCCAACTCGCTGACGAAGGGACACGAGCCAGGCCAGCTGCGGATGTATTTCAACAGCGGGCACCGCTGGAAGCTGGTCTACGACGAGAAGTACCAGAGTGCACGGAGGAGGAAGGCAGCTGGAATCCAGCCGTTCGAGCACGCAGGAGCGGGCATTCTCAAGACGCCAGGCGGGACAATGGCTCACATCAGTGCAGCTGCGTGCCCGGACTTCCCGCCACATGAGGCCATGACCGAGTGCAGCTCAGACGAGGAGGCGGACTCAAGGATGCTCAGCTTGGAGGACCCTTTATCCGTGCAATTCCGAGGTTGAGCAAGCCTGAGCATGAGTGAGTGAGTCCAGCAGGGTAGCAGATGTTTCATATTTGTTTCATATGCCATGGTGCTGCATAGCTTAAGTTTGTGATTGCATTTGTAGGTTTACGTATGCGTTTTGCCTGCTACCGTCTCGGCTCTAGCGCCCCCTCGCTCGCGCTCAGAGGCGCGGGAGTTTAGGCGCCCTGTGAGCAGGGCCCGAATTTTAGGAGTTCAGAAAAAGATCAGAGATCAATGCCGCTGCGCAATTTCCGCCGACTACTTGCACCCAGGGCCGCTCTGGCGGTCGAGCCCGCGGCGGCCGTCGCCCGGGCTCGAGAGGGCCCGGGCGAGGACGAACCCGCCGCCCAGCAGCCCGAGGAGCAGAAGCGCTGGGCCGAGAGAGCCCACCAGGCCGAGCCCGCCCTGATCTGCGCGCACTCCGAGGCGCTCGCGCACTACACCAACCTCAAGGTCAGCGGTTGCTGCAGTTGCCCCTGCCCCAAGCGCCCCCAGTTTCTCGCCCCGTTTTGGTGCGAATCCTGGAGGCGCCCGCGGCAGGGGGGCACTTGAAACAACGCCCGCAAAGGTCTCGAGGATCGGCGGGGGCGTCGCGGCGGAGTGCCGCGACGCCCTCAAGCAGCCGCCCGAGAACGCCAAGCAGGCCTAAAGGGCCACATGCGAACTCACACCTACACCTTGCGATTTCTGAGGGGGGAGGCAGGGTTCACTTTGCTCGGGGGCTGCCGAACGAAGTGAACCCCAACCTCCTCATCAGGAATCGCACGCGCGGCGGGGGGCAGGGGCAGGGCTCGCACGTGGCCCTGGCGAGACCTGCCCTGCGAGGGGCAACGAGATGTCCCGGGGCGACGCCCGGCCTTGCGGCCTGCGGACGAGTCGCTGGATCGAGCGCGCCCCGCGCGAGATCCGAGGCGAGGGCCGCCAAGCGCCCGCGGGCGCCAACGCGACGCGCGCCCGAGGCAACGAGTGGATCAACAATCTCAGGGGGGCCAGCGACAACGACGTGGCCAAGGCAAAGGCCACGGCCAAGAACAAGGCCAAGTCCAAGCCGTTCAAGAACCCCGCGGCGGTCGAGCCGAAGCACGCCACCCTCGAGGAGGCAAGCGCCGCCGCCCAGGCCTGCACCAAGCGCCTCCAGCGCAAGGACGGGCCCAAAGGGCGCCGAGCCTGCGTGGGCGAGCGGTTCGAGGTCGTGCGCGAGAGAGGTTTCTTGGCCAGGAGCGCCAAGGACTTCCCTTGCGCAGGCAATTTGCAGCCACGAGACTCGAGATCTGTCGAGTCAGTCTTGCGCCAAGATCTACAGGTCAGTGCGCGCGAGCGCCCAGACTCGAGATCTGTCGAGTCACTCTTGTGCCAAGATCGACAAATGCCAGTCTACACAAGCGCCCTGGATCATCAGCATCATCATCATCATCATCATCATCATCATCACCATCACCCGCCGGGAAATCTCTGATTATTCCCGCCAGACCCCGAACTTTATTACCCCCCGGGGGTTGTTGTCGGACGCGCAGGGATCTCCAAACAGTCCTGGGTTCTACCAGTATTTCCCGGTAGGCCTCGAGAAATGCCCGGGGCGTCGGCCCTTGCTCAAAGGGAGGGGGTGGATCGCCCTTGCAAGAAATTCGCGGACTTCCGAAATCTTCTGAATACCGATGTGTATTCTCTGAAGGTGGCCCCTGCCCCGTCGTCCTCTGAAGATGGCCCTGGCTTTCCGAGAGAAGCCAAGCTGAATTCGGGACTTTGGCACCGCCCGGACGCGTGCACTCTTTCTTGGCGAGGACCATCGAGGGGCATCCTGAATCATCGAGCGCCAAGATTATCCACTGCGTGGAGCTCCCCATATGTGCATAGTTTCGCATGGGCCTGTCCGCCGTGAACGTTTAGGCGCGAGAGTTTTCGAATATAAGCCGGTTTGGGTTGAGACGGTTTGGTCATGAATCTAGCTGCGAACGAATTGGGGTGCGAACGAGCCTCAATAGTACGAGCGCGTCTTTGAGCATGAGCCTGGGGCCTCCTGGGGTCTCCAGAAACCATGAGGGGGTTCCCTGGGGCCTCCAGGAGCTCTTGGGGCCTCTTGGGGCCTCCTGGTACCTCCTAGGGAGGATTCGCGCCCCAAGAGAAACCCAATATATAACAACAGACGTACATAAAACATTGCGGATTGGAGCCACAGGAGAACGGCAATCTATAGGAGCAATGTAAAACACCAAAGACTCCTGCCCCAGGAGAGGCACAATATATAAGAACATGAATAAAACATTTAGGATTGTGTACACGGGAGAAGGACACTATATAGAAACATACGTATAACATCAAGGATTCGCGCTCCAGGTGAGGCCCAATATCTAGGAGCATACGTAAAACACATGGGATTGGAACCACTCCTGTTGTCTTCTGAGGCCTCTTGCTCCTGGGGCCTCTCGGGGCCTCCTGTTGCCTTCCGAGGCCTCCTGGCGCTTCCTGCTGCCTCCTGGGGCCTCCTGTGGCTCCCTGCCTCTTGGGACATCCTGTGGCATCTTGCGTCTTTATGTGGCCTCCTGATGCTTCCTGGGATCTCATGTGGCCTCCTGTGGCCTCCTGGAGCCTGTCGAAGCCTCCTGTGGCATCCTGACGAGAATCTGTGCCCACGAGTCTGGCCACCGAAACAGGCAAACCGTTCGAGTCATCCTCAACATCTGGCCTATCTGGGGGGTGAACATGAGCGCCTCGTTCGAGACATCCTCCAAATCTGCTCCGAAAGCGAAGGATGTTAAGACAGAAAACAGGCAAACCGCTTGAGGCATCCCGACGCAATTTGTCAGAGATACGGGGATTTAGCAGGCGTGTGTGTGTAGTATCTGTGCTTATCTGGACTTCTACAGCAGCGTACGCGTACACAGGGCGCCCTTTTAGGATCAAGGGTATTAAAGCATCCTTATCATCGATCCCCGCCCGCCTGGGCGGACTCTCATGGTAGCGGAGCGTGACAGCTCCGGGACCTGCGCATCATAGGCCGCTGGGCTGGGCCGCCGCGCCCGGGCGCCCCCCGGCCGCTGCCGCCGCCAGAGGTCGCCGCACCTCCTCTCCACCGCCGCGGTCACCACCGCGGCAGTCGTGTCAGCCCACGACGACGAGCCCTCCGCCGAGCCGGCCGAGGGCACCATCCTGTGCAACAACGCTGCTGCTGCTGATCATTCCCATCCTCACGAAGAAGATGTCCATCGAGCTGGACAGGAATGGAGTCCCTCAGTATGCAGGCCAGCCAGAGTATTTCAATGAATACGAAGAGCGAGCCTGGGATCTCTACCCCGGCTACTCCAACAACCCCGACCGCGACGGAGGTAGCTTGGCGGCTGCGGTGCAGGCCCACAACGCAGTCGTGCGGGACGCCGACCGGGTGGTGTTCGACCACGCGCAGCACGGCAACCAGAAGGCCCTCTCCGACGCGGTGGACAGCGCCTCGCTCGACGGACTTTTGGCGGGCTCCACCCTGGCCGGCAAGGCGCACCTCTCTCTGGTGCAAGCCCCAGGCGCGGCCGCGTGGCTCCAGGCGCCGCCCTGCGAGGCCACCGGCACCGCCTTCCCGCACGGCCTCATGCAGGTCGGCCTGCAGAGGCGGCTGCGAGTCCAGCTCCTGCAGGAGGAGTGCTTCTGCCCAGCCTGTGGCGAGGTGATGGACGTTTTCTGCGACCACGCCCTGGTCTGCGCCTGCCGCGGCGACCGGACCAAACGCCACAACGCCCTGCGCAACCAGGCCTTCTTCGACGCCCTGGCCGCCGGCCACGCCGGGGCGGAGTTGGAGCGCCCGGGGCTGCTACCCGCGCGCCCCGCCGGGGAGGCCACCCCCGGGGGCGAGCAGGGCGGGTCCCAGGTGGACGACAACGGCCGCCGCCCTGCCGACGTCTACCTGCCGCGGTGGCGCAACGGCACGGCGGCCGCCTGGGACTTTGCCGCCACGTCAGGGTTGCGCGCCGATCTCCTCGCCGCGTCGGCCGCTTCGTCAAGCGCAGCGACGGAGCGGTACGAGGAGTTCAAAAGGTAGCACCAGGACACCGCGCGGCTCTGCGCGGCACAGGGCTTCACTTTCCTCCCCATGGTGGTGGAAGCCCACGGCGGCGGGCGGGGCCGCGAGGCACGCAGGGCCTTCGGGGCCCTGGCCAAGCGGGTGGCTGACGCCGCGGGGGAAGACGCCGCACTGGTTGCGGACCAACATGCCCAGCGACTTTCCGTCCCCCTGCGCAGGGAGAACGCGCGGGCGGTGTTGCGGCGCCTTCAGACCCTGTCTGGAGGGGCGGGGGTGGCAGCGGCCCGCCTGGCCGCGGCCACGGCGGCCTCCACGGCGGACGCCGTGCCCCCCCCCCGCCCTTGCTGGGCAGCGCGGGCGCCCCCCTCGCCCTTTCGCCAGCGTCGCGCCGGCGACCCCTCCCACGCGCCGCCCGGCCTTTCCCCGGCGGGGCGGTGGATGGACCCCGCAGATGGCAATCCCCACCAAGCCGCATCGCGCTGGGTTCGGGCGGCCACCCCGCCCAGGTCGCCGCCGCAGGGTCCGCAGCCTCGTCGCGGGCGGCTCTTCTCTCCCGGCCCCTGGCCCGGCCTGTCTGCTTGCGGCCGCTGCTTTCTTTCCTCCTTGTCCTCCTCCCCCTCCTCCCCATCCCTTCGCTTCTGCTCGTTGCTTCCCTCCCTTTCCTTTCCTCCTGCTCCCTGCCTGCTGTCTCCGCCTGGCCCGTCTTCTGCCTGCCCGCCCGCCCCGCCGGCCCTGGCCCCCCGCCTGGGCGTTCGTCGCCGTCTGCCTGCTTCTCCCCTCCTCGTCCCCTTCCGCCGGGCAGCACAGCCTGCCCGGAACCAGCGTGGCGGCATAGAATCGCGGATCTCCGCCGCCGAACGAGGCGGCGCCTGCCGCCTTTTTAGGGAGGGCACCTCTTCCGATCCAGACGGGGATCACTGCTGCGTCAGACCCCAACTTGCAGGCACCAGCCCCTGGCATGCCCTCGGCCAGGCGCCGCTGCCGGAGAGCGCGCTCCCAGGCCTTTCTGGTCCAGCCTATGAGGCAGTGCGCAAGCTCAAGCATGAAGAGCTGATAGCTACTGACGAGTCGGCCGGACGGGCTCACACTTTTCCTCACGACGTTGAAGAAAGAAGTTCAAGATATTGCGCCCGTCCGGAGCACCGAGATCTTCGACAAGGCCTTGTACGGATCATCGGTCTGGCGCGACCGCAGCGAGTCCATGGCCAACTATGTGACAAGGAGGCGAAAGGAGTTCGCAGAGTTGCAGGAGGTCAGCGCCACGACTACGATCTCAGAGGATATCCAGGCCGCACTGATCCTCAGATTCTGCGGCATCAGCATGAAGGAGCAAGCCGCAGTCCTCGCCTCCAACAAGAGCGAGTACAAGCTAGCTGGCATCGAGTATGCTCTGCGGGCCCAGTACCCAGCGGTACATCGACAGCAGGACCGACGCGCTGATCGCCGAGAGCGATCCGCCTACGCTTGCGCCGCGTCGGAGCAGGACGAGAACCCGTCAGAGCTCGATCACGTATATTACGAGGACGAGGACGAGGACGGCTACTACCAGGGCGAGGAGGACGACTACGAGCACGGCGAGGACGACGAGTTCGACATCGAGAACTACGTCGCGGAGAACCTCGACGAGCTTGGCACCGAGGAGGCAGAGGCCCTCGCCCTCGTTCTGCAGAGCCGCAACAATATCTTCAACAAGAAGAAGCCGCCTAGGCGAGTGACTTCGAGCTTCCACGGTCGCGGCAAGGCCGGTGGAAGGGGAGGCCGCCGGGGGGGCGGCGAGGGATTGACAACCAGGTCGCCCGCAGGGCGAGGAGGCAGCAGCAGTTCGAGTAGCGCTGTCCCTGGCTACGACGACCGACAGCGAGATGCTCGCCGGCAGCACATCGCCAACTTGAAGAAGCGGACCCAGTGCTCCGACTGTCACCAGTTCGGGCATTGGCAGGGCGATGATGTTTGCCCCCGTCGGTCGAGCCGGAAGCCTACATCAGTGTCTCCAGCAAAGAAGCCCGCTCATAACTACTTCACGCTCGAGGAGCACGGGGACAACGACGACGACAGCGAAGCCGTCCGAGGTCTTCATGGTTCTGAAGGGCGAGATGGAGCACGTCTGCGAGCACGTGGCCGACGACGCCTGCGAGAAGGTCGTCCGCGGCGCCAGCAAGACCACCAGGTACATCACATGCAGGGAGTGCGACTGCCACTTCGCGCTCGCCCACCGCAACAAAGGGTTTGAACTGTGGAGCTACCTCATGAAGGCCCTGATGGGCACGAAGTGGGGCCGCTTCCTGTCCCGCAAGGAGTTCGCGAGGCGGATTGCCCTGGTGGCCGACGCCCTGATGGTCCAGGGTCGCCTCCCATCTACGTATCGGAGGCGGACGGCGGCGCCCGCAGCGCGACGCCTTTCTGGCAAGCAGCGGCTATTCGGCCGGCTGCCTGCAAGAGGCGATGGACCACGTGCACCTACACTGGCGGCCGCATCTGCGGCCAGTTCTGCGAGGCCGAGTGCTACTGGATCAGCACCGGCCGCGCCACCTACACCCGAGAAGCGCATCATCAAGGTCGACTTGACCCAAGGCGACCCCGAGCCGAAGCCGGGACCGGAGCTGGCCTTCCTGTACGGCATCCCGCTTCACCACAGCATCGAGCTGGTGGAGTTCCCGGATCTTGACGGCGTCGACCAGCTCAACCCGGTCCCGTGCCCAGCGGAGGTCATCAACTTCGGCACGCACAAGGGGCGAACCTTCCAGGATGCGGCGCCCGACCCGGCACTCATCTGGTACAACAAGTGGGCTCTGGACCAGGTCTTGGGCCCCGAGGCGGAGGAGATCAACCTCCACTTGTACCGCTACGCGTATTTCCTCTACGCCATTGTGAAGATCGCGCGTGGCAAGTTCAACGTTGCCCCGCAGCAGATGATCGACGGCGACAAGAGGAGGCCCCCCGCCGACAACGATTGGATGGAGGTCAACGCCGGCGGCTTCACCACCCCGATTCAGCCCAACATCCACCAGCCGGACGTCATCTCTACCTACGAGTGCTCGGTCATGGCCGCCACTGCCGGCAACGCCTTCTCGGCGCACGACAACGACGCCGACGCCATGCTCGCCATCATCGACACTGGGTGCACGCGTACCATGCACGGTGAGTCGTGGCGGGCAGCCTTCGAGCGCAAGCTCGCGAGGCGCGGTCTACAGGTAGTGAAGACCCCGACCTCTCGTACATTCAGAGGGATTGGCGGCCGCGCGAGGAGCACCACGGCGGTCCGTTTTCCCGTGGGCATTGGAGGAAAGTGTGGCGAGATTCTGTCGTGTGAGGTGCCGGGCGACTGCCCGATGCTGCTCAGCAGGGACATGCTCACCAAGCTTGGGCTGAGCATGCGGCTTTCCACGGAGGGCGATGTCGCCGTTTCTGTCAACATCGGCGTCTACAACCTGGAGCTCCACCACACTATGGTGGGCCACCCGGCGGTCAACCTCCTTGACCTGCCGAACGAGAGCTACGAGACGGCCGATTGGGCGGCGCTGACGATGCCCGAGGATCACCACCTCGAGTACTTCCCCGAGAAGTTCCACGTCGGCATCACCTACGTCGAGCTCTCCCCAGCTTCCTGGACATCGAGATCGGCGAGACTACGGACGACGAGTGCCTCCAGACGGTCGTCGACCACGACTACGGACCGGACGTCTTCGCCGCCGAGGCGATCGAGTGGGGCGGCAAGCGCAACCTCACCAACAAGAAGTCCAAGAAGCTCGAGCATTCCCTGCAGGCCATTGCCGTGCAGGATGAGGTGGTGCAGGCCGTCGTGGAGAAGCATCCGCCCAGGGCCCGGCTGCCTGCAGGTTCCAGGACATGGGTCAAGCAGACCTACGCTGGCCAGATGGGTTTGACAGTGCTCATGGCCGCGATGGGCCTCTCGGTCGGCGCCCCACTGGACAAGCACACGGGCTGGGACGCTACCACCAGGCTGGGCAGGCAGAGGTACGACGCGGAGATCACCAACGAGGAGCCGTACTGCCTCGTGGTCTCGCACCCCTGCTCGCCGTGGGGCAACTGGAGCAGATTCAACATGGCCCGTTGCCCGGAGACCGAGAGGAAGATCTTGGCCAAGCGCGAGGCGAACCGCCCCATTCTCAGGCAGGTGGACTCCTCAGTGGACAGCCGAGTGCGGAGGGGCTTCCACGTGGCGCTGGAGCACCCCCAGGGCTCCGAGGCCTTCGACGAGCCGGAGATGTCAAGGATTCGTTCTCTCCTGGACAAGGGCATCCTGAAGAAGGTTACCTTCGACGGCTGCCAGGTTGGGTACCGCGATGCTGAGTCAGGCTCGGCTCACCGCAAGCCCATGATGATCATTACCACTATGGACACGCTGGTCGAGGCCCTTTCCGACAAGAAGTGTATTTGCACCCAGCACGAGCAGCTAAAGGGCCGCAACAAGTTCGGGCCGCGCACCCTGCAAGCGGCCGAGTGGCCGGAGGAGCTCAACCACATCGTCGCCCGCAGCATCGTACAGCAGGCCATCGTCGACAACGCCACGGACACCGACTGGCAGTTCCCTGCAGAGGACGGCCGCCCAGACCTTCGTGGGCCAGTTCGACTACGACGAAGGACCAGACTGCGGGGGCACCCGTACCGGGCAGCCATGGCGCAGCCAGCGCCACCGCCTGACCCGAACGTGCCTGAGCCTGCTCCTCCTCCAGCTGATCAAGAAGCTGTGGGAGAGCCACCACCTCCGCCAGCCGTCGATCCCGACGGCGAGCGAGCCCGAGAGGCCGCTCAGCTCGGCCCCATCACCAACACCAAGGAGGCCGAGCGGCGCAGGCGATGGCTGGAGGCCCCGCCAGAGGTCAGGAAGGCCATCCGCCAGCTCCACGTCAACTTCCACCACTGTTCGAACGCGACTCTGACCAGGCTGCTGAGGCGCCGAGGAGTCAAGCCGGAGGTGCTGAAGTACGTGGAGTTCTTTTCCTGCGACGCTTGTGGCGACGCCGTCCGTCGGCGCGCCCCACGACCTTCGCGGTTGCCAGGTCAGTACGTGTTCAACTACGCCATCCAGCTGGACACCTTCCACGCCTACGACGCCGCCGGGACCCCCTACTCCTTTATGAACTGTATCTGCGAGGGGGCGAACTTTCAAGTCGTGTACTGCATGGGCCCGGCTCGTGGATCACCGACAGCACGTGCCACTACCAAGGCGTTCACTACCAGCTGGACCCCGTGGGCTGGCTACCCAGAGAAGCTCACGGTGGACCTGGGCAAGGAGTGGATGAAGGATTTCGCCTCCAATGCGAAGGCGCATGGCGTGCAGGTCGACCTGGCCCCGTTGGAGACGCCGCATCTCATCGGCAAGTGCGAGCGCCACGGGGGCATTTGGAAGGAGATCTGGCGACGTACTGTCGCCGACTCGCAGGTCACAGGACTGGGCGACGTCGAGGAGACTGCCTCCATCGTGACCCAGGTCAAGAACGAGCTGGGCCGACGCGGGGGGTTCTCCCCTTCGCAGTGGGTCTTGGGGTCTCATGGGCCCCGTGCCCCAGGAAGCCTCCTACAAGACGACGAGGCGCAGCGGTTGGAGGTCGTCGAGGCGTCGCTCGACCCCCGGTCTGCCATGGCCCGCACCATGGCCCTGCGCGAGGCGGCCCGCATCGCACACGTCCGCCTCAACTCCGACGACCGCGTCAAGCGCGCCATCCTGCGCAAGGCGCGGCCTAGCCGAGGCCCTTTCAACATTGGGGCCATCGTGTACTTCCGCCGGTCGCAGACCCGAGTCGGCGAGAGCCCCGAGGTCACGCGCCGCTGGTTTGGGCCAGCCCGGGTTATCGGGCATGAAGTGCGCGACCCACGTCACCTCTCTCGCGACACAGACGAGCCCGTCGGCACACTGGCCCATGCAGTGTGGCTGCGCTACGGACACACCACCGTGCTCGCAGCTCCTGAGTCGCTCAGGTTCGCCTCCGAGGACGAGCTGCTCGCCATGCACACCTACGTGAACCCAGACCTGTTGTCCCTTCGGTCACTGAAGGGGGCCAGGCACTACATCGACATCCGGGCCGATACAGCAGCAGCCTCGCCCGCCCCGATGCCCAGGCCGCAACAGCACGCGGCTGGTCACGGAGGGGTGGTTGGGGGCGTGCTCGGATCTGCCGGACCAGGACCTGACGTAAATTTCGATTTCGACGAGTTCAACACCGAGGACCATCTACCACAGCAGCGGGTCGATCTTCCACCGCCGGCACACGAAGTACCACAACAAGCATCTCCAATCATTCAGGAGACCGACGACGCACTACTACCACCGCCAGCACAGCATCAGCCACCTCCTGTGGTTCCTGAGCCACCACGCCCGGGGCTACCAGAGGCAGAGGGGCCGCCACGCTCGTACGGCCCAGGCGAGCCCAGCATTCATTCCGAAGTTCAAGGTCATCGGAACGATCCTCGAGTATCCCAGGAGGCCATCGACAAGCCGGTGCCCCCGGATGACGAGGCTGTCGACAAGCCGGTGCCGGACGACGAGATGGGCGTGGGCCTGGAGCGCGGGGAGAAGCGCAGAGGCCTGTCGCTTACCCAGCTGGACAGAGCCCGGAGCGTCTGGATCGGGGTTCCATCAAGAAGCCTCGTACCTTCCAGGGCTACGTGGAGGAGGAGTTCAGCGTCATGGAGGATGCCCTCCACGAGGTGTTCCTCACCAGCGACTACAAGCCGGACCTGGCTGTCGCCTACGAGTGGCGTCGCACCGACTACGGCATCAATAAGTTCATCACTACGGACAAGCGTGGCCCTCGCTGGTCCAAGGTGCTTCGCCGCATCACCAGAGACATCAAGACAGGCATCGTGATCGATGACACCGACGTCAGAGGTCTTGCTCTTCGCGATGCTCGCCTTCGTCGGCCTCTGCCTGGTGGCACCACCGCGGTCGAGGCCATCTTCGTTCACACCGACGAGGACGTGGACACGAACGACACAGTCGAGTTCGCCTATCTCACCAAGGGCGCGGTCCGCTCCGAGATCAGACTTCAAGACCTCGCCCCAGAGCAGAGGAAGGAGTTCGGTCAGGCTATGGCCAAGGAGTGGCGCAGCTGGACTGAGTTCCAGGCCGTCGAGGTGCTGAGCTTTAGCCAGGCCAAGGAGCTTCTCGACAGGGGTGCCTCCCCAGTTGGGACGCGCTGGGTCCACACGGACAAGAACGCTAAGAAGCGCAACCTCAAGCAGACCTACGACGACACCCCGCTCGCTGCCAAGAGTCGGCTCGCCGTGCAGGGCTGCCAGGAACGAGGAGATGATATCCGAGGCGACGCTCCTACTGCTAGCCTTTTGGCTTTCCACCTGGTCGCCAGCTACGCTGCCTCCCACCGGTGGCAGATAAGGGCAGCTGACGCTGCGACGGCCTACCTGCAGTCCAAGGGCATTGAGCGCATCCTGCTTCTTCGGGCCCCTCGCCCTCCACCACCTGGAGTTCCAGAGGGGTCCTACATGCGCGCCCGCGGCGCAATCTACGGCACCAAGGACGCGGGCAGGCAGTGGTGGCTGCATCTGCGCGCCATCCTCGTGGAGCGGGGATGGCGCGAGTCCGTCTACGAGCCCTGTCTGTTCATGCTCAGGGACAGCAAGGGCAAGCTCAACGGCTTGCTGTGTACGCACGTCGACGACCTCTTCGTCACGGGCGCGGGCGAGCAGTTCGAGCGCGTGATGGAGATCATCAAGGACAAGATTCGCCTTTCCTTCCAGTCCGACACGTTCAGGTACTGCGGCAAGGTCGTGGAGCAGGACACCAGACTTTCGACACCAAGACCGGACAGGCCGCCACGGTCGAGGCGCTGGAGTACATCACCCTCGAGCCGCACCGCCGGCGCAAGCCCACTGCGCCACTCACCGCGGAGGAGATCTCTGCCCTCCGTAGCGGTGTTGGGTCGCTTGGCTGGGTAGCACGGCAGACGCGCCCCGACCTGGCCGTCCACGCTTCACTTGGGGCTCAGGCCATGAGTGGCCCCAAGATCCGTGACATTGTTGCAGTGAATCGTGCCATCAAGATGGCTAAGGACGACGTTGATTTCAAGCTGATGTTTTCATCCCGCCTGGACTGGGACAGCGCCATCGCGTCCGGCTGCGGGGACAGCAGCCATGGCAACATTGACGACCTTACGCTAGGAGAGAAGGTCTAATCCCAGTGTGGCTATATCATTGGCATGGCGTCGCCCGACCTCGAGACGGACGCCACCGCGATCATGCATCCACTGGAATGGGCTAGCGCAACGATCAAGCGAGTGCTTCGTGGATCGCTAGCAGCTGAATGCAACGGTTTCTTGACGACGGCCGAGAGCGCGGAGTTCTTCAAGCGCGTGATCGCCGAGATCTCCGATCCCGGCTACTCATCCTACCAGTTCGACCCGTTCTTCGACGGCAAGCATCTGCTGCTGCTGACGGACGCGAGCGGCCTCGTCACCTCTTTGGAGAAGGACGGTGGTCAGCCCGCTGACAAGCGAGTGCGGATCCTGATGGCCCAGATCCGCCAGCTACTCGGCCATGACGTGCTGAAGCAGGAGCGAGAGGGAGATGACTGGAGGATACGTGTCAGGTGGATCGACACGAAGCTGATGATCGCGGACTCTTTGACGAAGGCCGAGGCTGAGAGGAGTTTCTTGCTAGAGCGGCTGTCTGAGGGCCGCTGGTGTTTAGCGCAGACGAAGGAGATGCTCGCTGCTAAGGCAGCGGCAGGCGAGGCGCGCCGAGCCCGCAAAGCCCGGCCTGGCGATGCGGAGGGGTAGTCCTCCGATTGTCGTTTCCCTCCTTCTCCTCCTCTGCCTCCTCTCCCTCGTACCGTTTGGTTTGCATCCATATCGTTTATGCCCTGTGGTTTTATAGTTCCATATTTGCACGCCTGTTTAGGCACCGCTCTGCCGATGTTTGGAGATTTTCCCTCTTGAAGGGCAGCGGATTTCATTATATCATTTGTTTTCTCATCTGTCTAATGAAGCTTAGCCCCCGTAATGTTTTTGGGGTTCGGACAAAGGTCCGCCACGTTTTTGTCTCCGATTCCCCCGTCTTCCAAGATTGTGCCCGACGAGGACAAGCCTCGATGGTCACGGAGGGGTGTCAGAGATACGGGGATTTAGCAGGCGTGTGTGTGTAGTATCTGTGCTTATCTGGATTTCTACAGCAGCGTACGCGTACACAGGGCGCCCTTTTAGGATCAAGGGTATTAAAGCATCCTTATCATCGATCCCCGCCCGCCTGGGCGGACTCTCACAATTGCTGCGAACGGGACCGTGCAATACCACTCGGCGGCTCCCCTTAGGGGTGCTGAAACCAACGCCCCGCCTGAAGCATCCTCACAATATGCTCTCCAAGCGAAGGATGTTGAGACAGAACGCAGGCAAACCGCTTGAGACATCCCCACAAAAGTGCTGCGAACGGGACCGTGAAATCAATCCTGGCGGCTCCCTTTGGGGGTGCTGAAACCAGCGCCCCGCTTGCGACATCCTCAGAACTTGCTATGATAGCCAAGGATGTTGAGACAGAAAACAAGCAAACCGCTTAAAACATCCCCACACAATTGCTGCGAACGGGACCGTGCAAACTCCCCTGGCGGCTCCCTTTGGAGAGCTGAAACCAGCGCCCCGCCTGAGACGTCCTCTTAGAATCTGTTCTGATAGCCAAGGATAGTGTGACAGAAAACAGGCAAACCGCCTGAGACATTCTTACAACATTGTTGCGAACGGGACCGTGAAAACTCCCCTGGCGGCTCCCCTTGGGGGTGCTGAAACCAGCGCCCCGAGACATCCTTAGAATCTGTTCTGATAGCCAAGGATAATGAGACAGAAAACAAGCATACCGCTTGAGACATCCCCACACAAGTGCTGCGAACGGGACCGTGCAAACTCCCCTGGCGGCTCCCTTTGGGGGTGCCGAAACCAGCGCCCCGCCTGAGACATCCTTAGAATCTGTTCTGATAGCCAAGGATAATGAGACAGAAAGCATGCAAACCGCCTGAGACATCCTTACAACATTGCTGCGAACGGGACCGTGAAAACTCCCCTGGCGGCTCCCCTTGGGGGTGCTGAAACCAGCGCCCCGCTTGAGACATCCTCAAAATTTGCTCTGGTAGCCAAGGATGTTGAAACAAAAAGCAGGCAAACCACCTAAAACATCCCCACACAATTGCTGCGAACGGGACCGTGAAAACACCCCTGGCGGTTCCCTTTGGAGGTGCTGAAACCATCGCCCCGCTTGAGACATCTTGACAATCTGCTGTGTGTTGAGTAAGTATGACAATGATAAGGTCTGAGTATGAGTAGGTCTGAGTAGGAGTAAGTGTGTGTATGAGTTCATATGGGAACGAGTCTGAGTATGAGTAAGTCTGGGTATGAGTGAGTCTCAGCATGAGTAAGTCCGAGTGTGAGTGAGTCTAAGTATGAGTAGGTATGAGTATTAGTAAGTTTGTGTATGAGTAAGTCTGGGTATGAGTATACCTGAGCATGAGGAAGTCCAAGAGGGAGGAAACGAGCTGTACCGCAAATAATGTACACGAGTACGAGTGGGAGTGGGTAAGACTATGACTGGGTTTGGATGTGAGTGGGTGTGGGCTTAGTGTGTCATGAAGCAGTCTGAGTATGATCAGGTCTGGGTATGGGTAAGTCTGTGTATGAGTAAGTCTGGGTATGAGGAGGATGAGGAGGAGAAGAAGAGGAGGAAGGAGTAGGAGGCGTCCAAGTAATAACAATAACCCCATCTTAGGATATGGGGAAGAACTCGCACGAAGCCGAAACATGCAGAGGGAAAGGACGTCCGAGCGACGGCCAGTCGAGGCCCAGCGGGCCCCCAGGCGTCGAAGAGTGGCGCGCGAGCCTGCGGGCACCCTGGCAGCACCCGAGGAGCCGAGGCCTCACGTGCTTCGGGCACCTGGAATGGAGCCTCAGCGAACCATCCTGGACGAGAGGCTTGCGACATCGTCGAAGGTCCGCGGAAGGCGACGACGACGACAATGACGATAATATCAACGACTTTTGACGAGAGGGGCTCGGCGATCGAAGTTCGATCCGTACTCCTGCTGCTGCTGATCCTTCCACCTCTAGGCGCCAGGGGGAGCAGGGCATGGGGAAAAAGCTCTTCTCGAAAGGCTCGACTCTTGTTCATGCCGCCACTCTGGCCCCTCGTCGGGTTTCTTGGCGTCGCTCGGGCGTGTGTGCATTTTGTCCCGGCGAGGACCCTCGAGGAGCATCCTGGACCATTTGGCAAAACAAATGCACGCACTCAATCGAAAAGTACACGGGGAATGGACGTCCGAGCGATGGCGAGGTTCACGCTTGAGCAGGGGCATGGACGAAGGGTCGATCGCCGAGGAGCCCCCAGGTCGCCACGGCCGGCTGCGCTTCGAGATCCCGCCTGGGGAGAGCGCCCCAGGAGGTGTCCAGGGGGCGTGCCGTCTCCGGCCGTTACCGTCGTTGGTGCCTTGCGTCGTTTTCCGAGGAGGGGGGAAAGGAAACAAAAGAAAAAGAAGAAGAGCGTGAAGGAGGGAGTGAGAGTAGGACGAAGCCAGGACGAGGATGAAATCGGGTGAGGATACGTCGAGAATCTCTGAGATCCGGCGGCTCTGGAGGATGTCCCGGGCGAGCGTTTTGGAACGCTCTCGAACAGGCGTATCCTCATCCTAGCCCCGTCTGGAGGAGGAGGAGGAGGAGGAGGAGGTGGAGGAGGAGGAGGAGGAGGAGGGGAGGATGGGAGGATGGCTGCGTTCCGACGAACACCAAAGCCATCGTCTACAGCAGCAGGAGGAGGAGAAGTGACAGGAGGAGAGGGAGGTTCGGTTCGGTTCGGGCCCCGCGAGTGTCTTGGCCGATACAGTGCTGCATTGGACACCTGGGCGTAGTCTACGCGACAATCGAAAAGTGGCCAAGTCGGTCTTAAAGGCTGCCTGGCCTCTCGGGCTCTGCCCGCGCTGCCCCTGCGGGCGGCCCGCCGCCCTGGCGCGCAGCCAGGCGGGTGCCCGCAACCCGGGGGCCAGCATTCGCAGAGGTTTCCTTCCCCTCTCCGCCAGCGAACGTCCAACCCCCCCGCACTAGCCGGGACCCGTCCCATCCCACGAAGCTGGCCAGGCACAACCGAAGCCCTCGCTCCAGTTGAGGATGTGGCTCCACAGCTGTCCCGCGAGGCCGGGCCGCCTCGTGGCCGAAAAACGCCCCTCTGTTTCGGGGCCCTGGCCTCCCGGCAGAAGGAAAACTGGTGCCTGCTTTTCCAGCGGCCGAACGCCGCCTCCCCCGCCCCGTCGGCCCCCCCCTCACCGGCCCGCGACGCGAGGGGCTCAGCACCATCACAGGCGTGGGGGGCAGGCCTGGGGAAACATAAGTGGCCACTACCCGTGGCGAGCTGAGTACGGCTGAGCTCACGTGGCCCGGCCCCGCTCGACGAGTGAAGCGAGTCGCGCACTAGGCGCCATCATTTGAGAGACTACACAACCTTCCCGGCCTCCCGCTCCAACGGGCCCCGAGGCGCTGGCCCCGCCGTCAGTTCCTCTCCCTCCACTGTCAGAAGAAACTCCTGGAGGACTGGAAAATGAGCGACAGACGAGGTGTGGCGCGGGTTCAAGGCGAAGGATCGCACACCCTTCGCGTCCTCCCCCTCCCTCTCCTCCTCTCCTCCAGTGTTCTGGAGGAGAGGGAGGGGGAGGAAGAGGAGGAGGAGCAGGAGGAGGAGCAGAAGGAGGAGGAGGAGGAGGAGGAGGAGGAGGAGGAGGAGGAGGAAGAGCAGGAGGAGGAGAAGGAGGAGGAGGAGGACAGGAGGAGGAGGAGGAGGAGGAGCAGGAAGAAGAAGAAGGCGGCGGCGGCGGCGCCTTGCCACGATGCCGTGGAGCAGCGGCGGCGGCGCCGAGGCGGCAGCGGCGCGGTGCCGCGGAGCAGTGGGGGCAGGCAGCTGCAGCGGTGGCGGCGGCGCGCGTGGCGCTCGCAGGACGCTCTCCGGCGCTGGCATCTCGCTGGCGGCCCCCGCCACCGTGGGCGCCATCCCCCCTCCCCAAGGAATCTTTCTCGACGAAGACGAATGGTGTAAACATGAACTTTGACATGTTCGCACGGATCTCTCGAATCTTCGCCAGGCGCCCTTTGGCCGCGCCTCCGGCGCCGCCCCTGGCGCTCTCCGCGCGACAGGGACGGGGGTCCAACGCCGGGCCAAGAAATTTGCGCGGACTTCCGGGGTGGAAGTTTATGAATTTCCTTGTGCCTTCGTTCGAGAGGGCGCATCGTTCGCTGAAAGTCTGCATTGTTTGAGTCTCAGCTTCCTGAAACTGCTCGTCTGTCCGAGTTCGATCTGAAGTTTCTAACGCCCAGTAAGGGGGGCCTGGGCTCCCGAAATCGGTGGGCCGTCGGGGCCTCCCATCTCGAATTGCGTGAAACTGTTTAGGGGCTTCTGCAAAAGGGGATTCATTCTGAGATATTTCAGGCGTCTTTTATTGCAAGAGTCGAGTGGTTTTCCAGTTTCCTTCCTCTCAATGGGGCGGGCAGGAACCCAATATGCCTTCAACGCCTTTCTGTTTGGTGATTAACCGCATGCCGATGATAATAAAGGGACCCCCCCCTTCAGTGTTTAGAGTTGATTATCGTCGCCCTATACAAAATTCAAATTGGGCGGCGAGCGCTGAGGCCGAACTTCATTATCACCTCGAAACGCTATGTTGAGATAGCAACATCAAGCGATGTTGATATAGCAACATCAAGCGAAGCGATCACACTTTTTCAGGATGTGTCAAGCGAAACCAATAATTTTGGGAGGCAGA